ACAGTTTGCAGATCTTTTCTTCCAGAGCTTCTAGTCCAGTAGGTTTTGGGTGGTTCAAGGATTTGCATGACTAGTAAGTTCCCAAATGAAGTTGATGCTGATGGCCCAGGGCCACACTTTGAGAGACGATGGTCTGGAGATTGTGTTTTATCATCTTAATATTTTCATTCATTTATTCATTATTTCATTCACTCACTCATTCACAATATTTATTGGGATATTGCTGGCATTTAGTGGGTCTTTCATAAATATTAAGTGGTTGTGCATTTCCGTGTCTCAACAGCCTACGGGCACCAAGCACTCTTTAGTGGGAGGTCTTCAATGGCACTGACTCTTACCCTCTCCTGCATAAAATAAGACTGCCAACACAAGCAGGCCACTGTGCCACAGGATGCCAGGGTGTGTCACGCTAATGCTTATCACCCAGTCATTTATGGTTACCACATTCTAGCTTCTCATGGATGTTTTCTGTCTGTGCAGCTCATTAAGGATGACTCGCTGCCGAGCCTTCTGCTGCGGCTGCTGCCTTCCAAGAAGCAGGGAAGCCTGAGCAGGAGCCTCCAGGCCCGGGGCGCCGAACACCAGTGCTCCCGAAAACTGCCAATACCTTGAAGCGGTCAGGAAAATGGGATTATTCCTGATCCTGCACCACATTTCCTTGCTTGGAAATCAAAGCGGGCTGCTAATGCCTCGACATATCACAGAACAAGATGGGAAAATATCTCCATCTGTGTTTGCCTGTAGTTATTTCCTGGGGCTTGAATCTACAGGGCTGGGAATGCGGGAATGGGCGTTTGGGCAGAGAATGTGATATTAACACTTTCTGTCTTTTCTAACCCAGCTTCTCTATCAGTTCATGAAACATACGTGTGCGGTTTCCACACCCCAACCACTTCTCAGAGATACAACACATCTGAATCACAGTGGGGGACACAGAGGATTCTCAACACGACTAGATGCAAATAACAAAAGGACCCCACATTTCTCTCTAGCTTCTTCTCTTGCACTTTTAAGGTGCTTGTTTATAATCCCGTTGCATTTCTAATCGGCCAAATTTAATCTAGTCTAGCCAGGGGGACTTCCTTCCACTGAATGTACTCAGCTTATTTCTTTTATACAAACTATGCTTTAGGTGAGGAGAAAAGAGATAATTTGTAGCTCTGCATAATTTTCTGCAAGGAGCCTGAGGATTAAGATAGCTTTATCCAACCTTTAATCGTCGATATAGACCCAAATGGTTAGGGCTTTTCTTTCCTAAACCACGAATTACCCAGGGCTGGTGTGCCTTTCCCAGTTTCTGTTTGTGGCCTGGGAGTGGGGGTGAGGGGTTCAGTACCCATGGCTGAAAAAGAGGAGCTTAATCCAGATTGTCCAGGGGCTTTTAGAGGGAACTCAGTAGCTTCTGATTTACCTAATTCTTCTCAGATTATGGTGACACTATGCATTTTTGCGTTTTAGAACTATAAAAAAACACTGGTTATTATAACATGTATAAATCATCTAATTATCTAGAAGGGAAATAAGAACCATATAAATATGCTCATTCAAATATATGTCAACTTTGCTGTCATACATTTTATTTGTTCCTTGTATTATGCTCTGTCCATACAAACATTGCTTGATATCTGGTCATGTGGCAGGAGCATCCTGACACAAACACAATGCTATGTAAATGGCACAAACACTCCCAGGGAAATGAGGCTAAAGGGATTATTGCGGGAGATTTCCACACCGGGAGAAGGCAAGGATGCTTATGTTCCTCTTTGCCAGGTATGACAGTAGATAGAGGGGAGGATACCTAATGCAATGAATTGTCAGGCACTTTGTCCTCTGGAAATGTGCCTATCTTGTACCCTCTGGGTCACACATGAGAGATCAAGCCATGGCTCCCAGCGTCACTTCACAGATTTGTAAGGCTAGCTCTGAGAAGACAGGTAGTTTTCTTTTATAGTGTTGCTCCTCCCTACAGCAAGTGGTCAACAGGAAGGATGTCCTTAGGAGTGACTGAATAACTTAATGTCAGATGAAAGTGCACATATTTTTAAATCAAATACAACCCAATAACTGTAACTTCTTTTGCATACAGTTTTAAAGGCAGATATAATATAGAGCACAATTTAAGAAACCACAAACTTCTTGGTAGCAGTCGAACACCTTTATGACAACATTTCAAAGATGATAAAGCTAAGAGTTTTTCAGGGTCAGGACAGGCCAGCTTGGGGCTGCCCAGGCCTGGTGTTAGAATGGATAGCAAAAGTATTAGCAAACTCTGCATGACAAGCAGGACGGAATAGGTGCCTAAGAATCTAAGCTAAAGCCAAGATTATAGTTCTAGAAGGGCTATAGGTCCTAGAGAGTCAAGAAGCTTGTGAGCCAGGGTGAGGAACCCAGTGGAAGGGTCTCGTCAGCACGGAGCCAGGAACGAAGTGTCCATTTGTAGTAGGTCCGTAATCTATCTAACACGCAAGGGTCAACGACAGCAAGGAAAAGCTTTAATACTTGTCTTTTCAGTGACTGGAGTCCTTATATATTCCTTTTCACTTTTTGAATGGTTCTGAAGAGGTAGATGAGCCTGAGCCCACAGTACCAGCAAAAGGTAACGTGACAGGAACTGGGAAATGAGAAATGTGAGGGAGAAATCTGGAGCCCTGCGCACTGCCCTGTCTGGTCCTGGTGTTTCCCTGCCCCAAGGAGAATCAGCCTTTATCGCATTTCGTTCTTACAGTTGGAAGCCTTGAAGGATCTAAAGATTATTTTACTGTCAATGAAACCCAAGACTTATCACTTAACTGCATAAGCGTTGTTCATTTGCTTCTGAAACCAGCCATTTAACTTTTAGAAGAGTGAATTATAACCCTGCATGTTGGAAGTTTCTCAAACTATGGATTGCTGGGCTCTGCCTCAGACCAACTGAATTAGAATCTCTGGGGAGCTGGAGGGGGCCTTGGTATCAATACATTTTCAAAGTTCTCAATGATCTTACTTTTCTTTCACTTTTTACATTTAATTTTAAATGCTGAAAGTATCATGAACTCTTCATTGTAAATAAAAATATGTAAAAATTATTACTTCTCCTTTTTTAGATAGAGGTAGAGCATATACAAGATATAAAGATTATCAACAGAGTATTTGTCCATCTTCCACCTCTTTCATAAATTATAAGTGTATAGCCAATAAATTGTCCCAAGATAAACGTCCTTTCATAAACACCATACAGGTCAAGAAATCAAACGCCACCATAGGCTCTAGCCCCTGTTCGTGTTGCTTCTCCTCATTACTTTCTCTTGCCTCCAAAAAGCATAAAAAGTTTCCCAGGGAATTAAAAATATTTTTTAATTCTTACTTTTGAGAGGATGGGGAGGAGTAGAAAGAAAGGGAGACAGAAGATCTGAAGAGACTCTGCGCTGTCAACAGAGAGCCTCCTGTGGGATTTGAACTCGTGAACTGTGATATAACCCGAGCTGAAGTCAGACGCTTCACTGACTGAGCCACACAGACTCCCCAGTGTTTCCCAGGTACTTTTAATGGGCCTTATAATCGTCTTTTCACTTTGTTTTCCTTATGGATACTTTTTTTATGGAGAGAAAGTACTTTAGATATGTGGATTTGATCAGTGTCTCTGATTATGTAATATTAATACCAATAATAAATATTTTGAGTGTTATATGTGCACGCACATGTTGTAGGTATATGTGAATGCTACACTGTGGCAACACACTTTCAAGCCAGTACTCATTCAAGGAATTGATGTTTATTTTTCCAAAACAAAATTAAACTTCTCTCTTGAGCCACATAACAGCCGATGGTAGAATATACCTTTCTGATCAGTTTCAACAGTGACCACGAGTCATGGATGGCAGCTGCTTCCACATTCTAGAAGGAGGCTCCACCACGCCAAGGGAAATACGTTGCTGCATTGGAAGACCTGGTGTTGCTGTGGCAAAGGATGGTGGTTGTGTGCATTGGACCACTTGTGGGTGATATATACAGGCCCAAATGAGAAAGCCACCCTGTTGGCCATTTTAAATGCTGCCCAAGAAAACGGCCTGAAAAGAGTTTTAAAAAAACACAGAGGTCTGAGTTCGAATGCTAAAGTAACAGTTATAATTTTTTGGCATTTTATCACTTACAAGATTGCCTTTCCCTTTTCTCTATATTAATTCCTTGACTTTTATTTTTTATTGCATTGTGAAATGTAGTAGTTTTAGGATTATATGTCTATGCTGATCTCTTACTCCCTCACCCCACCCCAATATCACAAACTTCTTTTCCAGTGGGGAAAACGTTCCTTGTCGCCTTCCCGCCTTCCCGCCTTCTGACCCAATTTGCCGTAGAAACAAACAAACAAAAAAAGAGCTTAAATGACACCCAGAGGTCATCATCAACCCTGCCTTTGTGCCAGGACATGCAGACTCTCCAAGCCAATTACTAACCTGTTTTTAAAACAACCTCCAATCAGAGAGAATCCATGACTTCTTTTGGTGAGCTGTTGCATTGTGCAAGAGTACACTATAAATGTCTTCGCCTATCTGTATGTACTCTTATCTCACCGTTCTATTTTTTTCCTCACTGACATTAACCCTTTCTTATCTTTTTATAAGACTACATAGGGGCCTGTAGGCCCCTTCTTCTCAGACTTGGGAGACACATGTTACTCTGTAAGCAGTCAAGACGGTGAGGTGAGTCGTAGTCCCGGGGAACCTGGGTGCTCTAAATCCCCAGCTACATGGGATGGACCATAGGGTAGTGGAATTTCTCATTTTATAAAGTATTTATCCGGCTGCTGCTAAGCAAACACTTTAAGTCCCTTTTTAACGGCATGAGAGTGACATTTCTGAGTCTGTTTCCAAACAGGACACTAGAGGGCTCCCAGAGGTTAAGAATAAGTGGGAAATTATTTGAATGAAAACTGCTTCTGTACGGCTTTTGTTTTTCCAGAATTTAAAATTAAAGTTTATTTTTTAAGCTATTAAAAAAAAACTTAGGCATCTGAAAACTCGGATACCAGCAGCCAGTTCACAAGTAACCGTTTTGCTTTGCAATCAGTAGTTTTCAAGGGAGCTTTTAAAGCTGAAATATTTGAAATGTGGAACACTCTTGACCATGAAATATGTTCTACTTACATGCTTCAGCCTTTAAAAGTTCTTTGCATTACAGTCAGGGATTACATTCTTCCTGGAGCCAAGCATGGGGCCAGCTGTGTAAGTAAGTAAGGTTGCTTGTGAGTTCTTTTTCATAATGCGAAAAAATAGAGCTAGAGATCCCTTTATTTTCTTTCAGCTGACTTTTGTGGGAAGAAAAGGAATGAAAAGCAGTCGGATTTGTGTTTTGTGTTTGTGTGTGTGTGTGCGCGTGTGTGTGCGCGTGTGCACGACTGAATCAATGTAACTTTTGTTAAGATATATGGGCATTTATGGCTTAATATTACAATAGTTCCTAATGCAGGATGTTGAAACATACTCTTGAAGAAAAAACTGTACCATCAGATTAAGAGACTATGTTTCTGAAACTGAAGGTTAATACTGAATGCTTCTGCCCAATTTGTAATGCAGGACTTTAAAAAGTAAACATCAGATGGCGATATGATTGTTTTTAAAAACCATCTATCACTTGTCTTAAATTATTTCTAAATGTTAGAAAGGAAAAGCCTGGGTTGGTCAAATTTTAATACTTTTCTTTGGCAATCAAATTAAATGACTCTAGCTACAAGTTGTAAAATATTCTTGGATTTTAGGGGTTTGTTTCCATTAATCTAAACTAAGTATCAAATCTATACATCTGTCTTGAGTCTATTTTTAAAACTTTCTTTAAAAAAACATTTCATGATGGTGGTGTTTATGAAAGGAAAGGGTTACTTTTTTCCCCCTTTACTCTTGAAGAGGAACTGAACTCGTTTGAGATTGTGACTCAGTTAAGTCTGTTTCCATTCATTCCCAGACACAAGCCACACTTCCCCTTGGAGAGGCTGATAGGAGTTTAAAAGGTTTGTTGTGGCGAGTGGCAGAAACATTCCCAACTTCATCACCAACCTTCTATTTCCACGTCTACTCTACCCACCGGAGACCACTTAGATACCTAAGCGGAGGCGACAGCTGAATTCAGGAAACCATGCATCATGTCAGCAGGAACCAACTGCAGACTTTAAAGTCGGTTCAACATGTGGAGGCAGCAGAGAAATGACCTGTCCAGACAAGCCAGGGCAACTCATAAACTGGTTCATCTGCTCCCTGTGCGTCCCGCGGGTGCGTAAACTCTGGAGCGGCCGGCGCCCAAGGACCCGGAGGAACCTCCTGCTGGGCACAGCCTGCGCCATCTACCTGGGCTTTCTGGTGAGCCAGGTGGGACGCGCCTCTCTCCAGCAAGGAAGGGCAGCAGAAAAGGGGCCGCACCAGGGCCGCGACCCGGCCGAGGCACCCTTCCCTGAGATACCCTTGGATGGCACCCTGGCCCCTCCAGACTCCCAGGGCAATGGGACCACGCTGCAGCTCAATGTGGTGTACATTACCCTACGCTCCAAGCGCAGCAAGCCTGCCAATATCCGTGGCACGGTGAAACCCAAGCGCAGAAAGAAATATGCCGTGGCATCTCCGGCGCTGGGGCAGGAGGCTTTGGTTGGACCATCCCTTCAGCCACAGAATGCCGCAAGGGCAGCTGATGCTGAGGTGCAGGGAGGAAACCCGGGCAAGGTTGGGGAACGACCCTGGAGGTTGATACGGGGCTCAGGGGTGCAAGTTGGGGGCTCGGATTTTCAGCGGCCCAAGACCAAGGAGAGTAACATCAGGATCTACAGCGAGAGCGCCCCCTCGTGGCTGAGCAAAGAAGACATTCTCGGAATGCGCCTGCTGGCGGACCGTGCAGTGGCAGGTCTTGAGCCCGTTTCCTCTGAGAGCGGAGCGCGTTTGCTGGTGCTGCAGGGGAGCGCCGCGGACTCTGTGCCCGGCTGCGGCCCCAGCCCCTGTGGACTGCTCAAGCAGCCCTTGGACATGAGTGAGGTGTTCGCCTTCCACCTGGACAGGATCCTTGGGCTCAACAGGACCCTGCCGTCTGTGAGCAGGAAATCAGGGTTCACCCAAGGTAACGGCTTCACACGCTTCGTTATTTGCAGCTGTTGGAGATTCGGGTTGATTTTTCCCTTTTCCCTCACTCTCCTTTTCGAAATGATTTTCTCCACCCACGTTGCGCATTTGGACAGCAGCAGCATGTCTTTCCATACGTTTGGCGTTCTTTACTTTCCCAGCTTCGGCAGGATATGAGGGTTCCAGGGAAATGCTGTACTCAACATGCAAGGGTAGCCCACACTGTGTCATCTTTGCTCTCCATTTCCCTCCTTGCACTTCCCAGTGGCTTATTAAATCTAATTAAAGCCAGTGGCAATTTGCATGATGAGAAGAGGAAGCCGGGTGGAGGCAAAGAACTTGCTGACAGTCAGGCATATTATTAGAGAGGTTACTATGGAAGTAAGTAGAATTTCATTCGTTAGGAGTTTTGAAAAGGAAAGGGGAAATGGGTTATCTTTCTTCAGCAGATGGAATCTTTTTAAAGGGCCCAGGGCCAGACCATGTGAGTTCGACCCTTTGATTCTTTTACAATGGATTTAACCCCCTTATTTTACAGAGAAAATGAAGCAGAAATAGGTGATTTGTTCAGTATATATGCTAACTGGCCACAGTTTCTTCAAGCCTGTTTTTTACGACTCTCTTGGGTGACAGTTTGGCAGTTTCTGTGCTATGTAGCCAGTCACTTTAGTTGCAGGCAAAGGGGCTGATCTGTGGCCACGCTTAGGCCATATAAAGGATATTCTCTGAATCTTGAGGCTGTTCCAGGCTTTGAATACAAAGTAGGGTGGGTGAGTGGCTCATGTTTGCAAGCAGAATAATGCCAGAGGTTGCCGGTATGAATCTAGGCTGGCCCGACAGGCTAAAAAGGACCGCAAAGGGATCATAAACCCAAGGAGTGTTTTCTTACTTTTTGTCATCATAAAATTTAGCATTTTATGGAGCCTGGACTGGAATGGATTAAGATTCTTGGGAGTGGCCAAGCTATTTCCATTGCATTTCCAGTAGCTTTAGGATTATAATTTAGTCTTAAAATCAGTACTTCTTGAAGTAGTGGTGACATACTTAGAAGTACTTGGCATTCCTTACTTATCCTAGTTCATGTCTAAGTGCTTCAGATTAACAGGTATGTTTTGATGTCGTGAGTTCACCGAATAGTCCATCATGACTGTGCTGATGTAAGTTCTCAAACACTTAATGAAAGGTTGGTAAAAGCTAATTTTTATTGGGTGCTCACTCTTGGCTATGCATACTAATTGATTCATACAATTCATGCATGCCTTGACTGTATGTTTCTCACAACAGTGCTATAAGGTAGATGCCACTATTATTTCCATTTAGTGGAAGTGAAAATTGAGACTTATTTAGCTAAAATCATTGGTCTCAACTTCCACAGCTGGTAAATGGCTAAGTTGAGTTTCAAACATAGACCCAGCAAACTGCAGGAATGTAAGCTCTTAACCACTGGGCTTAGGTGACTATGTAACTTATTATCCAAAGTGGAACACCCTGTAGTAAAAGAAGATATTGGTGGGCTTTGAGATAACGGGTATATACCAAGTCTACCGTGGGCAAAGCAGGGCGCAGCTTAGGGTGACTCTTGTTATCCTATACTGCCATTCACCATCATGTCATAACAGCCCCTGAGTGGAGAAGGTGAATTCTTGAATAGATCCTGAGGCATGGTACTCTCCAATATGGTACTCCCCTGGGATGCTTGTGGATGGAATTTGGAAGAATGAAATAGTGGGTAGGGACTTGGAGCTGTTCTGCCTGGGTTTGAGTTTACCAACCACGTGACCCAGAAATGTTATGTTATCTCTGTGTGCCTCAGTTTCCTCAACTGTAAAGTGACAATACTATCTGCCTCATGAGGTTATTGTTAGTAAATCCATGAAAAACACGTGGAATGAGTGCTTGTCACACAGTAAACCTTCAATAAATATTGTTTATTTTTGTTACTACACTACACACATGAGGTACCAAGTTTGCTGAGTCATTCACATAGCCCCCAAGTCTCACATGCATATCATTTCTTTCCAAAACCAGGATTCCTTGTATATATTTAATTCTGTGCTCTGAATATCCAGCATTTTGGGGGATAAAGAGGACAGTTACATTCAAGTTGAAGGAGAGGTTTATAATCCCAATATATCCTGGCATTCTTCTCTTGTTTCGGAAGTAAGTAGTGATGGAAAGAAACCAATGAGGTTGTATTGATAGGACTCTCAGTGTGATGAGTTAAATACCTAGGATTATATCTTCAACAATACTAGATCTGTCTTTGTTTTTCCACTTCTCCTATGTAGTTATTTAGAGACATAAAATCAAGCCAGTTTCCTCAGGAGTCTATGAGATGATTTAAATATAGTTATGAACATGCTATACAATATAATTCTATATACATAGGTTATTATATTGACATAAAGTACATAATAGTTCAGTTCTGGTCATGGTAGGAGATGGATGTGGACAGTCTTAGCTCCTTGGTATCTCACTCCATCCACCTATTTCTAGGCTTTTCTTGACATGTCTTCCCTCTCCTGATTTCCACAGAAGTGTGTACTTTCCTCTGGGGTCCTCTTATTCTTCTTTTGATCCAAGCTTAGATTTATTTCAGCCTCCTTATCTACCTAAGGAGGTGATAGATTCTATCTAGTTACTCAGGACCTATTTTTCCTTCATTCTGTATCATCTCTTTGTATTATAGTCGTTCATATCATCATCTTTTTGTTCCCACTAGGAACAAAAAGGGACATCTAGGAACACTTAGGAACACCTAGGAATTCCTAGGGCTCTAGGTCTGTGAAGGCAGAGATATTTCCTGTCTTGTTTATCATTTCTAGGTCTAGTGGAGAGTCTGGCACATAGTAGGTGTTCAGTAAACATTTTTGAATGAATGCAGGGACATATTCTTGGCCTGTTCCACTGACTCCTAACAGTAAATCTGTATTTGCCTCCAGCTTCCCGTACTCAGGACAAGTACTACCATTTTTAGTCCTAGAGTCAGGCCTAGATTTCTCCTGGAGAATCTTATAAAAAGCTCATTGTAGAGGTAATGAAATATGTCCTTAGAAGTCTCTGTATTATGCAAATAATAAGGTTAATAGAGCTTCTTCTTATGAGGACCATCAATATTGTCTGCTGGCCTCACACTATAATGTAATTCAATAATGCATTTTCTGTAGGAGGAAGTGTTGGATTTAGTTGAGGTATATATTTCTCTGATGACCTGGCTTGGTCTAAAAGTAGATATTTTAATATCTGGGAGAGTGAGTAATGAGAAAATCCTGTAAGTAATTCTGTCCTAAGCATTGTTTCTGTTCTCTGACTTTTGATTAATGTTTGTAAAAATAAATTCACGTTCAGTACCAAGAACATAGCTAGTATGTACTGTGAATCAAATATAGATATTTTGCTTATCTCAGTAAATATTTCCAAGAAACCTATGCAGTAGAAAAAATTTTTAACCTTAGTTTTAAGTTGATAAAAGATAGAAGAAGATTGCTCTAGGTCATACAATGAGTTGGTTATCCAGAAAGAAGGTTCTGGTCTTTCCTATTTTCATCAATCTGCTTTTTCAACAAATTCATTAAGGGACCTTAATATATATCTTCTCTCTCCATCACCACAACATATTAGTATGTCTGGTTATTTAATATAGCAAACTAGATGGCTTACGCAGTGATGCAACTGTACACGCTATGAGAGCCTCATTTTTTTTTTTTTTTTTTATCAAGGAGGCAACTACCCTAACCACAGCAAAAGTAATGTTGAGGTTATGATATTGAGGTACTGTTTTAGGTACTGTGCATGAGTTATCTCATTAAATCCTCGTAAAAATTTTACAAGGCGAGTACTCTATGAAAAAACGTTTTGTAGACGTGGAGGTGGAGGCCCAGAGTAATTACGAACTTTGCTCGAAGTCATATAAATTGCCTGTATGTGAAAAGGATACATGAGGTGCAAGGGGAGATATAAAAGAGAATCAAATGCAGTGATTAAATCATCTACCTGCCCCCAGCCTCTCAGGTGTATCTTTCTGTTGATTCAGTCCAAAGACAAAAGGTCTCAAAAGCTCGTCTTCAGGTTTTGTTTGTTTGTTTCTTAATTACTAAAACTGGGGTGGGTGATGCTTTCGGCACAGAGCCACTAGCTCTGGATTGCTTGGGACAGGTCCTTGACTGTATAACTTGATGAGCTCTATGTGATTCTCCTTGACTACAAATAACATGTATGTGAAATTAGTGGACCTGCTGACCTTGTACTGTATACCAGACCAGTTTTTGACAGGTGCTTCTCCAAAGAGAACCCAAAAAAGGAGATGGGTGTACTTGGAGAAAGGCAAGGTTGTCATTAGGTAAGGAGTGCCACTGGTGTACCAGACTACAAAATCTAGCAATTATCACTGGAGCAGATGCCTATTCTGTGCCTGTCTATGCGGTACATTCAAAATAGCATCAGAGGGCTGTTTTTAAAAAATCAATTTCTGCAATAATGACATCTTCTTCAATTGCGAATTTACAATGAATCTAGTGTTATGCATCACACCATTTCTGTGCTGGATTTGGTGTCCTATGTCTAATATATAACTTCACCATTCTATAAAGTAGATACTATTGATACTTTAAATACAGGAATCCTGAAATTCGGCAAGATTTATGAAACTTGCCCAAGGACACGTAGCTAGTGAGCAATGGAACTAGAATTTGTAACCATTCTGTCTGATACCAAAGCCTCCTCCGAGTGATTTTAATCTAGACTAACCAGTCAAAAATATAACATCACTTATTGATCCAATACACTTGATCAACGGAACAAGTTACCCTAGGGATAACAGCGCAATCCTATTCTAGAGTCCATATCGACAATAGGGTTTACGACCTCGATGTTGGATCAGGACATCCCGATGGTGCAGCAGCTATCAAAGGTTCGTTTGTTCAACGATTAAAGTCCTACGTGATCTGAGTTCAGACCAGAGCAATCCAGGTCGGTTTCTATCTATTACGCAATTTCTCC